CCAGGAGGCGTGCCAGCCCCCCCCCCCCCTTTTTGTCTTGAACTGCCTGCTGCCCCCTTCCCGTTCCCCCTTCGTCCCTCGCCAGTCTCTCCTGCCCCCGCCCTGGGCCGCGGGGCTCCCCTCACATCCTGAAGCCCTCAAAAACTGGAGTCGCAGGCGCGCTGGCACGACCTGGGAGTGGTAGTTCAGGGAGTCGACGGTGTCCAACGAATACAACTGCCCCCCCCATGGCTTAAGAGTGGTTCGGGCCGTCCTTGGCTGCGCACGTACTCAATCGAGGAATCCCGGGGTCCTTTGTTCACCTCTCGTGGGCGACCATTTGCTGAGCGGTCGTCATCTGTGCAAGCGGTTTAGTCAGCTAGCTCTCTCGCCGTGCCAGTCCACCGCGATCCACGTCGTCATATAATTTGTCTCCATCTGTCAAGCCAGTTCTGCACGAGTGCACCGCCCCCACTTCACATGTTGCATGATGCCCCTGCCGATGGTGACCTTTTGACAGCTGATGTTCGCTCCCTCCACCCATCCTCATCCCACCATTTCCCGACTCCTCTTCATGATGTAAACATTGGTCCACGTCACACCACCACACGTGCTGGCAAGGCGGACAAGCCTCACAGCTTAGGATCGTAAAGCATGACGTGTCGCACAGTTACGCGGATGGAGGCCCGATGGTTTTCAAAATTTGCCCACCATCGCCTGAGCGCCGCACGCACCTGTCGCTTCAACAGTTCCAAGAGCTACAAGAATGGAGTGCGGGGCGGTGCACGGCGCGGCTCTCGCCTAAGCGCCGCGCGCACCAGCCTCAACGAAACTAACATCAGGCAGTAGATGCCACCCTGGCGCCACCTAGTACGCATAGGACGATGCACATATATACATATATATATACTATAACCATCGCGCGCGCTTCGCGCGCGCTCAAGTTCTAGCTAGGCTTGATAAGCTAACTCAAGTAACGTAAGTTTGGTCACCTCTTGCGTCCAGGGACTCCCTTCGAGGCCCTGCGCAAGCCTCGGAATCGTATAGAAGGGGAAGTGCGGAAACGCAGAAATCATACAGTTCCTTCAGGTATTCAACGATTTGGGGCCCTCAAAGGCTTCCTGAGTTCTTTTTGGGGAAGAGGGGGTCTGAACTGTGGTCTCTTGTGCAAGAGTAGACCGGGGGCCAAACTTGAAAAAAAAATAAGGAATTGTGGGATTTCCATTTTTCTCCTGTTCCTCGGCGCTGTTCGGCGCTGCTTTTGTTTGTGCCTCGCGGGTTTTGTTAGCCGGGCCCTTCAGGGGTGTGGGATCTTCCGGACCTCCTGGGGGTTCTGGAGGCCTCCTGGAGGCGTGGAGAGCCGCCGGAAGGGTGTCTCGGGCTGCGCGGGAGCGTGTTGGGCCGTTCTTTGCGTTCTGGGGGCTCCTTGGGGTCGTCTTGGGCTGTTCTTGGGCGTCTTGGGGGCCCCCTAGAAGCCGGGAGGCGCGGCACCGGCCAGATGTCAGGGAATGTGTGGGATCTCCGAGTAGGAGTCCACTTTGAAAAAAAATTGTATTCTTGGAATTCCCTTAAAACAGAAAATCCTCGATCTTCGAGGGCTGGAAGCGGGAAATCGTGAAAAGGCGAGAAACATTAGAAAAACCATTGGAAATTAACGATTTTACCCTCTTTGGGCTCTCTCGGGACGGCTCTCGCAGCTCTCTTGGGCTGGTCTTGGAGCCTCGTCGGGGTCTTTTTGGGGCCTCTAAGGGATCGGGGGTGTGTTGGGGGCCTCTGGGGGGTCCCGGAGGCCTCTCGGAGGTCTATGGAAGCCTCCTGTTCTCGCTCTTGGGCCCAGCTTGGGCCTGTTCTGGGGTGGTCTGGGGCTGTCCTGGGCGCCTCTTCGGCAGTCTTAGAGCCTTCTTGGCACGTCTTGGGATTGTCCTGAGGGTCTCTTGGGTGGTCTTGGGGCGGTCTTGGGCGGCTCTTCGGCGTTCTTGGAGCGTTGGAAGCTCGAAAACGCGAGAAGCCAAAAACATTCGAAAAACAAATAAAAATCGACGATCTGGGCCTCTTCTGGCCGTCCCGGGACGCCTCTCGGACCTCTCTTGGGGTCTCTTGGAGGCCACCTGGGAGCCTCGAGAGCCGCCGGAAGGCTGACTTGGGCTGCTTGGGCGCGTCTTGGGCCATCCTTTCCCATTCTGGGGGCTCCTGGGCGTCCTGGGCCCTCCTGGAGCGCTGTGGAGGCTCCCCGGAAAGGCCGGGGGAGCAGTACCGGGAGCGTTCCCGAGATGTTCCAGGGAGGTGTGGGACCCGGGGCCAGGGGGGGCGGCATTTAGTTATTTACTTCCATATATACATGTGAATATACACATACATACGTACGTACATACATACATACATACATACATACAGACATACATACATACATGCATGCATACATACATACATACATACATACATACATGCATGCATGCATGCATACATACATACATACATACATACATACGTACGTACGTACACACACATACATACATACATACATACATACATGCATACATACATACATACATGCATACATACATACATACATTCATACATACATACATACAAACATACATACACACATACATACATGCATACATGCATACATGCATACATGCATACATGCATACATGCATGCATGCATACATACATACATGCATGCATACATACATGCATACATGCATACATGCGTACATGCATACATGCATACATGCATACATGCATACATGCATACATGCATACATGCATACATGCAATACATGCATACACGCATACATGCATACATACAGACACGCACATACATACATACATACATACATACATACATACATGCATGCATGCATGCATGCATGCATACATACATACATACATACATACATACATACATGCATGCATACATACATACATACGTACGTACACACATACATACATACATACATACATACATACATACATGCATGCATACATACATACATACATACATACATGCATACATACATACATACACACAAACACACATACATACATGCATACATGCATACATGCATACATGCATGCATGCATACATGCATACATGCATACATGCATACATGCATACATGCATACATGCATACACGCATACATGCATACATGCGTACATGCATACATGCATACATGTAATACATGCATACATGCATACATGCATACATACAGACACGCACATACATACATACATACATACATGCATGCATGCATGCATGCATGCATGCATGCATACATACATACATACACATACATACATACATACATACATACACACATACATACATACATGCATACATACATACATACCTACACACATACACACATACACACACATACATACATACATACATACATACATACATACATACACACACATACATACATGCATACATACATACATACATACAGTAATACCTACGTACATGCATACATACATATATACATACATACATACACACATACATACACATATACATATATATATACACATACATACACATGTACATATACATATACATCTACATATACATATATATATATATATATCATATACGGAGGTGGATGGAGGAGGAGTCATTGTCCCAATGTGGCTCTTGCCGTCGCGTCCCGCACAGTAGTTATGAACCTCCCCAAATAAGCACACGGATGGGTGGGGGGTCCTTCTGATAGTGAGTCTTTCGCGTCAGGCGTGAGACACCATCTGGCTGAACGGCAAGGATTTCTTCTGGGGAAGCGGCAAATACAGATGTGTATGTATATACATATATAGATATACTAGAACCACTCGCGCGCTTCGCGCGCTTAAATTATAGTCACAACTAGCCCACGGCTCTCATGTTCGCTCCTGATCCGGCATCTTTGTCTTGTGGGGGTCTCTCGACGGCCTCTTGGAGGCGTCGTGAAAGCCTTATCTGGGGTCTAGGGAGGCCTATATGGGCCCTCGTGGAAGCCTCCTCCCTTCTCCTCTCTCCTACTCTCTGCTCCTCCTCGTCCCGCCTCATACTCCTGCCTCTTCCTTCTCCCTACCCCTCCTTCTCCTCATCTTGCCCGTCTTCCGTCTTCTCCTGTTCCTCCTGGTCCCCCCCCGTCCCCTCCTCCTCCCCTGCCCTCGATTAGAAACGGTCGCACGCCTCGAGGAGAGGGAGGGACGAGGTTCGAACGTCGAGGTTCGAAGTTTTTCTGATTTTGACGTTCCAGGAGGGCCCTGGGACACCCAAGACATCAAAACCTGGGGACCCTTTTCCCGCAGAAGCCTTTTCCACTCTTGGCGAGAGTTGCGGGACCGCCGCGGCCCACGACGACTACGACGACTACGACGACTACGACGACGACGACGACGACGACGACGACGACGACGTGGGCAATCTTTTACGGTCCAGAAGCTCAGATCGGTCTTGAATGTTCGTTGATTCTTCGCGGGTTGCTGCCCACCTTTGGGGTCGAAACGGCGGGAGCTCAAACAGCATTGAAAAACGTGTGCCTCTTGGGGCCCTCTTGGGGACGTCTGCAAACCCTTTCTTTTCACCACGCGTTGAGCAAACCAGAATACGCTAAATCAGCGGACACCCACGCCGAAGCTACACCGCCCTCCGAGAGGAAGCAGTCAGCAAGAAGGGCGCGAGGGCCACCAATCTTCGAAACAAGAGAAGCGTAGGAAGCTTGATCTCTGCTCGCCACTGGACACTGAACATGCCGCAGATGAGACGGTTACGAAATCAATTCAACATAACCGCTGCGAGGGCCAGCCACGAGCTGCGATACACCCGCAGACGTGCCTGGCCATTCGAATGCAATCACACTCCCTGTTAGCATCTCAACAATCGGCTCATGATGGCCAAAAGCACCGACGCTACATAGAAAGTTTACGCGCACGAGAGCGCGAACTCACATACACGCCAATGCGTGCCCACATGGTTTGAAGCTATGGGTCTCATTCTCCTCCTCATGCTCTTAAGCCCTTCCTCTCCTTAGCCGCGTCCTCCCCGCCACCTCCGAAGTCTGTCAGACTTGCCGCGTGCAGACTTGAATCAACAATACCTCTGATCCTGGAGCTTGTCGTCCAAGGCAACACATGTCACCAGCAAGGCGCAATGCACATCCTGCCTAGAGATGCCGACACGCGGTGCGGGTCTGCTTGCGGCTCTGGCCAATCGCCGCGTGCACGCGGACGAGGAGTTACTTGCACAGAAGCTTGTTCGTGGTAGCCTTAGGTCGGGCCTGTCCCCCTACAGGCAGATTTTCCTGGAAACCTGACAAATAGTCCCAACATACCCCGAAATGGTCAAAACAATGCCTCAAAAACAGAAGTCCCCAGACTATCGTTTGACTATTTTTGAATCTTCCTCCTGTAGAGGGACACGCCCGACTTGATGGTAGCCGCCGAAGTTCGGGCCGGGCGAAAGGGGGGGATAGCAAAGGGGGGGTTTGAGAATCAGCTCGCGTAGCTGACTTTCCCGGCCCCTCCCGGCGCCGGAGGCGGCCAGGTATCGAGGAATGGACCCCTCGGTGAGGCCGAAACCAGCTGCACGCAGCAAATTTCGTAACCCCCATTTCCCAATCCTTGGAGGCCGGGAAATGAGCACCAACACCAACACAGGGGGTTGCCTCCACAGGGTCAAGATCATCCTAGATTTCGGTGTTGGTAGCAATATATCGGCCGACCTTGGAGGCCAAAATATTACCACCATCACCGAGATCGGGATCGTCTTCCCTCGGTGGAGGCACACCGCCGATCTTGGTGTTGGTGTCAACCTCTAGGCCTGCGAAAATTTCGTAACCCCCCCTTTCCCACTCCCCCCCTTTCGCCCGGCCCGAGAAGTTTGCAGCCGGCCTCCCTGCGCGGTGCAGGCCTCCCGCGGAAGCGCGGGCAGCTCCCGCGTGGGCTCCTGCGGCCCTCCGCCCGCGCAGCCCCCCTTGGCCGTGCTCCTGCCTCGCGAGGCCGGCACCTGCTCGGCTGGCCAGGCAGCCCGTCAGCACGACGTCGTGCGACACTCCCCTCCCTCTCTCCTCCTCCTCCTTCCTCCCCTCCCTCCCCTCCCTCCCTCCCTCCTCCCCTCCTCCTCCTCCTCCTCCTCCTCCTCCTCCTCCTCCTCCTTCCTCCTCCTCCTCCTCCTCCTCACAAACGTGAGGAGGAGGGTGAAGGCGGCCTTAGCTTGCCCGGCCGTCCGAATCGTGGGCAATGCCGTTGCGCCAGGCTCTATTCGCCGCGTGCGAGCGGGGCGACATGAAAAACAGTCAACCATTGAGCTAACAACCGGCAGCCCTTCACTGAGATAACTGAGGGCGTCCAAGGAACTGCCAAAGAAAAAAGGGGCTATACCAACAACAACAACAACAACAACAACAACAACAACAACAACAACAACAACAACAACAACAATTACTAGCACGTGGGGACACACCGTTCTCACCAGTGCCAGGGTTTTCATAGGAGGCGGGCAATACCCCCACTTTGTGGGGGGGCCGGTTCAAGCTCTACCAAATTTCCAAACGACTCTTCGCCACCACCCACACCCAGCTTCCCGCCCTATGACGTTCGGACACTTCACTTCGTGGCATGCGGACGACCGTGGCTACTATTCAGGGCCCCGCGGCCGACGACGACGGCGTGCGCGCGCGAAGAAAAAACGAATGTGTCCCGCATGGTATTATTTGACAGGGATGATGGCCCTGGCAGGTGCGCAACCGTTGTCGCAGAAGTTCGAAAAAGTTGCTCGCAAAAGCCCGTTTGACAGAAATGTTTAAAAAGTGTTGGGTTTCCTACGAATCCGCAAGAGCGCGCGGGATGAGATTTTGACATTTTTTTGTTGAAAAACCATTGGTTTTTTGATGTTTTTATGTTAAAATCGCTCCGAACACTAAGGTTTTGGAAGGATTTCGTCTTGCGCGCGCGAATGTCCACTTTACCTTATTTTTTGCAAGGGATTCTTGAAATTTGATTATATTAGAACAAGAAATGTCATTTTATAGTGTTTTTTGCAAGGGAAAACGGATTACAACAAAACAACCGGATCTGGACCCCATCCACTTTTCTGAAGCTTTCGCGAAAAAATAATGAAAATGTAGCTGCGGCCTAGGCGCGGCGGGGGGGCCGTGCACCAGGGGTCCCAACAATAATTATTCTTTAGAATTAATAATGTTCAACTACTACAACATTGTTTTCGCAGGAACTAGATTGAACGCCTACGTGAAAAAATACAAATTCATCTACGGGTTGTTGCTGGTGTCCTGGTCTAAAACACCAAGCGCCACTTCGAGAGCAGTCTGCCAACAACCGCGCGAGTAGTTGGATGCGCGCCTGTGCCCGACAGCATTAATTGACCAGGAGGTGCTGATGAATGCGAATGCAAAGCGCGAATGCCAATCTCGGCACATGCGTGACAACTCCGAAGAGCCGAATCTCCACAAGGGAGTTCCAGGCTGCCCCTCGCTCCGTTCGGGTTGACCCAAAGGTGACCCAAAAGGGTGGTGCAA